AAACTAAACATCCTACAGTATTTTTACAGTCTTTATTTTACTGTTAAAATAAATGTTTATTAAATAAAGTCTAATGTTACAACTAATCCTGGATCTCTTTAAGGATCTGAAGCTAAAATCWTCTTTTCTCTCAGGTGAAGACGGGGTCTCTGAGCGCCCGCTACGAGGCGGTGAGCCAGAGCCACAACGAGCGTTTCTCAGCTCTGGAGCAGGCTCAGGTTCTGGTGGCTCGGTTCTGGGAGACGTACGARGAGCTTGAGCCGTGGCTGGGGGAGACGGAAGCCCTCATCACTCAGCTGCCGCCCCCTGCCATCGACAGCGACGCTCTGCGCCTGCAGCAGGACCAGATGAGGGTCAGCTCCGCCCCCCGGTTCTGATCCACAAACCCAAACGTCTCCTGGTGTTCTCACCGCTTCCTGTCCTCCTCTCTGCAGCTGCTGCGGGAGTCCATCGCCGAGCACAAACCTCACATCGACAAGCTGCTGAAGATCGGACCCCAGCTGGCTCGGCTCAGCCTCCAGGAGGGGGCCGCCATCTCGCAGCGCTACTCCGACGCCGAGCGGCGCTACCTCGCCATCAAGGAGGAGGTGAAGGGTCGCGCCGCCGCGCTGGACGAGGCCGTGTCGCAGTCTGCGCAGGTAGGAGACAAAAACCAGGACTAAAGCAGGGATTTAGACCATTAAAAACCATTAAAACTAAAAATAACCGTAAGAGTTTTACTCACTGAGTGGGAGTGAGCAGCTGCCATCTTGAATTCTGAAATCACCACTTGTAGATTTAAACTGGAATGCCCCCTCAGTGGTAATATTCCACTTGTAAAGTGGAAGAAACTTGCTGCGTTCCAGTTGTATCAGAACTCGAAATTCTGAAGCCGGACTGACGTCAGTTCTGATAGGGTTCCAGTTTCAAACATTGGAAAAAGCGTTTCTATTATTTTGCTCTGCAGCAATAAAACGTACAATAATAGTGCTCTACGAGGTATTCTGAGTGTACAAACAGTGTTAAAACATATATTTTAACTATCACTATAAAGCACTACAAGTACGTCTGACGTAATGTAAAATAACACAGAAGAAAGCTGCGTTTGTTTACATGCAAGATTAGCATTGTTAGCAGTTAGCTCGGACAAGCATGCTAGTACGTTACATACATTAAACGAATATAAAAAGGGAAAATAAACAAACAAATTACACTCATTTTTATTCTGCCTCCTCTTCTTACTTTCTGTCTGTTAAAAAATGGGGATGGTGCTTGTCTATGTTTGATTACATCAACATTAGCCGTTAGCTTAGAGAAACATGCGCGCGGCAGCCATGTTGAAATTATGACGTAACGCATGCTAGGGCTGCTCGGGTATGGTTTGGATGCGCCGACCTCTCGACTCGAAACTACGACTTCAGTTCCAGTTGAAAAATAGAACWCAGAGGCTCGAAGCTACGACCTCCGAGGACAACTGGAACGCAGCATGAAACTGCCCCAGTTTCCATTTCAAGATGGCGGCTACTCGCAACWTTAGAAAGTTAACTCCATAACTTTTACTGTTAATTATCTTTCTTAATTTTTTTGTGCACATTTAATCACTCGCACAAGTAGTGTGTTTTCTGTGCATACATTAAAATAAATGTTTATTTGCATGACATACATAGCAGAGCTCTCTTTTTGTCATTGTTTATATTGTAGCAGTTTTGTAGCTAGGTTAGCGGAAGCAATACAATCGCCTGTGGTTTGTTGGGAAATGACATCTCTACCATTTACCAGTTTTGGAAACACGATGTAAATAAAACGCAGCATGSATCAACATGCATCATGGGAGGTGTAGTTCATGCTTAATGCTGTTTTAAAGCAGCTTGTTTTAGGATATTATTACTGAGCAATTCAACTAAACTGCTCAGTTACTTAAAGCCAACAATTTAGGCAGCACAAGTATTGTCTTTCACCTTTTAACTTTATTTTGTCTCATTTATTCWTAAGTTTAAAATTTACCATTGTTATTAAAACAAGTTTCATATTAATTAAAATAAAAATAATTTTTTATGGGGGTGGCCAGACAGGAGTCACCCACAGACCACATTTGGCCTGTGGGCCTTAAGTTTGACAAGTGTGATCTAATGG